CAATAATCTTGCATTGTTGATAGGAAGAGAACTACAATCAATGGTAGTTTGTAGGAATAGCGATTTAGTTACTACAGATAAGATAGATTTAAATCACCATTTACCATTGATAAAGTTTCCTAAATAAAAAATATGAATCTGTGGTGAAAGTGTACTTCCCTGGAACAAGAATCTTTTAATGTATAATGATTTTGAATATTGTGTTTTTATTTCTAATCAAACTCGACAATATATATGTGTTTTCTTTACAACAATTCGTGATAATCCTTGATCCAAAGTCGACCTAGGAATTGAAAATAATGGATCTGTCTGAAAAATAAGAAATTAAACATACTCCCAGAATTCAATAATAGGGGATTCTGTTTCAGCGGCTGTAATATTCAGTCCGGTAATGTTGGTTCCTTCTTTCACACAGTTTTCTGTGTTCCACCAATTACCACACGTTTCCCACGGCAACTGTGACGTCATTGAGGACACGAGGTAGAATAATGTCCAAGCTATTATCACCACGTAGTATATGTTATAGAGACAAACGATGGTCATTGAAGCAAAGCCAATTCCTAGTGAAAAGTATACATTAAGTTGATATAACAGCTGTTGAGACATCTGACACAAAGATATCAGATATATATATATCCGGAAAAGGTGAAAAATGCTAAAACATTAGAAGTAAACAATAATAGTTACCTTTAAAGATAGGTACTAAATTCCAGATGCCTATACCACCAATGCTGAGATACTGACCAATGGCCACTTCCAGGAAGAAGAGAGGAACAGCACACAAGATTAAACAAATCAGGTAGGGAAACAGAAATGCCCCTAAATAACAAACCACAACATATAATCCATTAGAACCACTAAGTAACCATTTACTAAGGTAAAGATTTCATGATTATTAAGTTAAATAACACCACAAGACACATACCTCCACCATTTTCATAACACAAGTATGGAAACCGCCATACGTTGCCAAGACCGACAGCATAGCTTATGCAACTGAAAATAAAGTCCAGTTTTCCTCCCCATTCCCCACGTTCTGGTTCAATCTTCTCCTCATCTGGCTTTGTTACGAACTGGTTCATTTCATCCAGTGTCATGATCTCCTTCACCCCTTTTTCTACACTGACTGTTTCTGATTTTTCATTTTCAGGAGCCATTTCTAATGATAACATAAAAGTTTCTGGACTTTAATAAAAACGATAACTATAGAATGAGACCTATAGAATATAGTAATATATGAAACTATTAGTTGAACAAACTTTACATGAAGGTAAAAACATGAATATCTATGTTATAACAGATATGTATCTTAATATATGATTAGTGATATTTATATCATCAGAGGTATTGCTTACGTGTAATTATATGGCACTACTTAATATCACAGGAGGTATCAACTATATTTACTTACGTATATCTCTATCTTCAGAGATATCATGTGCATACAACTATATCATTAGAGATATCAGTTTACAGGAAAAAAAAATACATCAGATGGATAAGGATATTTTTTTTAGATTATAATGATCTAATTTTTATCCCATTTTATAGAAAAGGAAATCATTACAGATATCACAATCAAA